AGTAAGTTCTACCCAAAGCCAGAGTGAAACTAGCCAGAGCTGGCAACGCCCTTGTCACCCATACATAAAATAAAATTTTAAAATAAGGTCTTCACACTTGACCTTTTAAAACTAACTTAAAACCACTTTCAATGCTCCCGGTGTTGTTGGTTTATTACAAGCTCTCAGTAACAGTCTTCAGTCACGAATTTTCCTACATGCTACAATTTGAAACGACAGAATTTGTGCGAAATATATTACATTATTTATGCACAACTACATATGTTTAACTTTCACACGCACACACACCTTCACACATACACAAAACAAATATGCAAAAGCCCTTGTAGTAACAAAAATACCTGCAACTCTATACCATATGCAATTCATTTGTTTGTATTTGTATTTGTGCTGCACTTGTGGTAGGGTTTGCTCGTTTCGTCTTTATTATCTTCCTTATCTATGCAAATAAATATGCGGTGACCCAAAATATATATGCACTTCTATCTATCCGAAATAGCAACAATTTATTGCCATAACAAGTCATGCGGGCGTGTTAGTGCATACTGACTGCATTATCAGTGTATATGTGGACTATGTGTAATTTTTGCTTATCCGAAGCATTTCATCACTTGCTGATATTCGTGTCACGCTCACGTTTCTATGCAGCGTTTTGTTACTCTCTGCAAATGTGCGTACGTTTCTATGTGGACTGACACTATTTTGATAGTTCATTTATTTCATGTATATATGTATATGTGTAAATATATATTTTATACATTTGAAAACTTCAAAAAATGTTTTTGCCTTTCTGTTCTATGTTGATTTTATTACAACATGCTCGTGTCGGTGTTGAATATTCTATTTAATTTTTTCTGTGTAGGAAATTTTTCTCCTTTATCGTTTCGTATTTACATTTTAGCTTAGACTTGGAAATATTTATAGTGTGTTTGTTACTTGAAGCACGTTTTCTTGGTCGCACGGGCACAAAAAATATATTGCATGTGAGCTGAAAATAACTTGCAACCTCGATAAAAGCAACAACAACATTTTGTGATAACAACTTTTTTACCAAAAAGACGATACTTTAATAAAAAGACGATTTTTTTGAACTAATATTACAAACAATATAAACAAGTTTGTTGGTGAATTTATTCGGCAGGAGATCGAGTGAGAGTTTGAGAATAGTTGCATTTGAAGTCTTCTGATATTTTCTTAAGGGATCTCAAAGCTAGTATAGTGCAAATCAATGTAGTCCTTAAGCAAATGAACCACAATTTATTTGTTAAAATTAAACCAAAACTGGTAATTATAAGTCACCAAATTCTTTTAACAGAACCTCGAAGTTAAAAAAAAATTCTCAATTTTCATACCAAATATCTTGCTGAAATCAGAAATTCAGTAAATTCCCTTAAAACTAAATATTTTACGATTTATAATTTTTTTTTATCGTTGCGTTATACAATATATAAGAAAAAAAGATTTATTTTTAAACTTTGAGGTTTACGAAAAAAAATTTTGGAGACCACTTTTTAGAACATTCAATTTTCTATAAAATTTTTGATTTGGAATACTTTTCATGTAGTTGGAAGCGAAATACATATTTTTCTAACTGATAATAAGAAAAATGTAAAGCGGAAGAACTTTCCGTTACAATTAAAAGTTCTAACTTGGAAAGCCTTTATAAGAGGTGTCTCAACAATTATTTCATTACACCCAGCAGAAATGCAATACTTGTAGGTTCGCGTTTGGTCTCTTTCTGGTCGTAAAGGCAAGTCCACATATAATGAATCCTGTTCAAAAGCAAAGGAAAGCAAGTAAGGCCTCGAAGCATCGTGAAAAAGTGTTGAGTTCACATAAAAAATTAAATTGTCAAAACTAAGTTAACAACAATTGCATTTAAAAGAAAAAAGTCAACTGAACATGTGTGAAAAACCTTATCGATCAAAAGACGAATTTCACTCGCACGATCAACATACTCAGAAGAAATTTCTGACCCATTTCGTGTGATAACACCTTCACTAAACTTGGTTTTCAATAAATCGATTGTGACATTCGCTGTGTGGCGTCGTCCTGTTGGAACGCATTGTTCAAATCCATATCATCCAATTCGGACCAAAACTATTCGTTTATCATTGAGCTATAGTGATTTTCGTTTACAATAAAGTGCCGGTCTTTATCAGCACGGAAGAAGTACGGCCCAATGACGCCGCCGCCCATAAACCAAACCAAACCGTAATTTTTTCGGGATACAATCGTGATTTATAGAGTACGCTTGGGTTGCTACCTTATTGTTCAGGTATCTTGTCATATCTTGTTTATTCTCGAAATTCTGGATCATTTTCAAGTTTTTGCTCCGCGCAATTCACGATCATAAGGCGATTCTGGTGGACAAACGGCTTCAGTTCTTGCGTCAATTTGAAGTTGTAAGGATGTAAGCTATCGCCAAACGCTTGAGAATGACGTGTGAGAGACTGATTGGGGTCTTCTTCAATTGATGTGCAAGGGGCAGCAATATTCTCGACACTACGGGCACTTTTTTGTCTCACTGGCTCGGAAACCTTTTGTTCTGTGTCTGTGGGTTTAAATTTTTCCCTTACGTGCTCAATTGTTGATTTGACAGGACCATAAATTGAATGTAGCGCTCGACTTATTCTTGGATCGTATATCTCTGCATGATGAAATGCATGAAACCTTATTGAAGAAAAATGTCAAAATAGCGGAAAAATATGGCGTCATTTGTGGTCCCTATCGATCTACTTTTGTGGCGTCCCTATTGAAAAACTCGTTAGGTATTATTTTCATCGACTACCTCGATAATGGCAAAACAATCACTAAAGAATTTAGCGTTACTAGATTGATTGAACTTCGAGATTAATGTTAACTCAAATTGTCAGTTGAAAGACTTTTCAACAAATGTGGTACACCTGAGATATTGCTTAAGGTAGCTTAATTTAATGAAGCAAATATCGTAAAACTTTACATAGTTTGGTCATCAAGTCTACACCTCGCAGATTTATAATCGTTATCAGTGCTGAAATGCGAATAGTAACTGAAGACTCAATGTTTGGTTCAGTTTCGGTGTTACGCATGCCTTGGGCAGTGTCTGGCTTCTTTGATTTTTATGAACAGCAGTCTGTTATTGGTTTTCATATAACAATGTTACACCATTTACTTAAATTGCAAAACAGGGAAGCTTACATTCTAAAATCTCTATTATTGTTCTACTGTGTCAAACCCATAACAGCAAATACATTTCAATTTAAATGTGCTAAGGAAACTCACCACATATTCTTACACAAAATATCTGTAGAAGTGACCGAATGAACTGAATATCTTTAAAATACTTTCTACCGTAATTTACCCAAAACCAAAAACTTTTCCCGAAAGTAAAATGAAATGTATGCTGTGAATTCAACACGGCCACACGTTGGCCTATAAAGTGCGCTTTATTTATGCCATGTAAAAAATGCAAATTGATTTTACGACAGTTATTTGCTTTTGCACAACTTCACAATGCCTACAAGTCCTTCCGCAAATACACAACGCGTTTGAGTGTACATATGTATGTACACATATTTATAAATTTTATGCACGTAGGCGCAGGCATGGTGTTTTCACATTTCACTTCAGAGTTATCGAAACAAATATCACACTCACATGTGTGAGCGTATGTGTGCGTTCGCAAATTTAAGTATTTCGGTGCTTAATGCAAGCCTTTGCTTTTATACAGGTACTACAGTGCGTGACAAAATAAATGCTGAATAATATTGAGTTTTTACACCCTGAGCATGGTTTGTTAAGTTTGGTAGGAAATTCTTTAGAACAAAACATCGGAGACACTAATATATAACGTATATATATAAATGATCAGCATGATGAGCTGAAACGAATATGTACGCGAAAAAATCCTTCGATATTTTATATATTTCTCATCGGAGGGCTGCCCTTTTGGGGAAAATGCCGATAACGGACCACTGTAGAAAAGAGGGGTCATAGACAAACTGTTCGATCAAAAGCGAATCCTTTTAAAGAAATTGTTTTCATTTGACGAGGTAACTTTATCAAAATTTTCACGAATTAGTATTTAAAATTAAGCTACAATCTCCGAAGAAATTATTCATTTTGGATAACTATCACACATAGCTACCGTACAAACTGATCGATCAAATCCATGTCCTTCTATTGCCAAATTTTTTATTTGACAAGATATCTTTACGAAACGATATCTTTCGCCACTGACTCTTGCTCATAGTCATACTAGAAGAATATGATTGAATATGAATATGAATATGATTATAACGGACTACCATAAAATACAGCTGTCATACAAACTGAACGATCGGAATCAAGCTCTTGTTTGGAAAACTATTATCATCGATATCTGACAAAATATTATCCAAAGCATCATTACAATCTACATTCTCCGATGAAATTGTTCAGATTAAACCACTTTAGCTTAAAGGGGCTATATAAATTGACAGTAAAAAATCAGGAAAAAAAAAAGTTCTGTGCTATAAGAAACGTGCCTCTGAAAGGAATTATAGCTTTGATGAAACAGAAGTTATAATATCTAATTTTTAATTATAATTGTAAAATAATATCCCTTTGTGTGGTGTTTGTCCTTTTTTGAATTTTTGAATAAAAACGAAAAATACTTGCTTCCGCTTTGTTTTTGAAAAAAAATACAAGTTGTAAAAATTGTGTGATATCTGCGTACTTATTGAGTATTGAATTGTTCGTATAAAAAAAACAAAAAAACTAAACAGAAGTGCCAACATATTTTCGCACAGCAGACATACTTGTCTACAAAAGTAATATAGCAAGTGGAGTATGATAAAAAATATATTTTGTTTTACTATATTAAATTTTACACGTTTATTGAGATATAATAAGGATCTAACTTACTTGCATATAACATACACATATATGTATATTTTCACATACACATGCTCAGGCTTAAAATGTAAATTTCTTTATTTCATTTCATTGTGCATTTTTATTTACATATTATCTTTCAGATTTTCATCGAATTTCCTGCCTCTTTGTTACTGACATCAATGTTCCGGAAATTGTTGATTTTCGCGATAATGTCACGTTATCCTGCAGTTATGATATGAGCGGACATACGCTGAATTCCGTAAAATGGTACAAGGATAAGCAGGAATTTTTCAGGTAAGCGATTGTGATATGTAAATGTTGAAAATATATACAAAATGGCAGAAAATGCCGTAAATTATTGCAGCATTTAAATTTTCTCAGCTGCCACCCATCACGTATACGTAACTAAACTTGACGGTAATCTGTTAAATTGTGTAAACTCTTTTATAGATGTGCTGATACAAGTGCATATACATATTTATAAGCTTACTATACCTCCTGCTAGTGCGTAATTCAACTGGAAATACACGCACACATGGGAAGTATGGTAGCAATGCAATTATCATATTGGTGGGCAGCAGCAGCAATATCTGCGATCTGCAATCTATCCACTAAAACTCGTTTGTGCCGAATTTCAAAATTATTTTCCTCTATAACATGCGTTAATTTCTATTTCACACACTAACATACAATTGCTTTGGCTCGCGAATTGTAGCAAAAATAAGCATTTCCGAATTCATCCAAACCGGCTTAGTGGATAGATAGATATTAATCTTCAATTATCATCGTGATAGGTTTTTACATTTGACGTTAGAAATTTATTCGTCAACGCATAAACACGTCGCCTCACGGAAACCTATCAAACTGATTGAATGAGACCTTGGATTGTAGTTTCTTATTGCCGTCATTTGTTGTAGAACTAAATTTTACATGTTTCATTGCACCATACCAACAGACTTTTTAATGACTTCTTTCAAATGTAATTCAATGACGAAATGATGAAGTCAAAGGCAGTCTAGGTCTGGTATCCCAATATCTAGCGTTACTGATTCTACTTTGCCAAGTTTCTGAAAGCAGGGTCTTAGGGGAAGATGTTCTGTGCTGACCATTGCAATGTTGCTTACCTCCCATAGCTAAAATTCGAAGCTTTCTGGTCGGTCCGCCATTAACACTAAGTCCATTGCTCCAAGCAACTTTTAAAGAGGGAACTGCATTGCGAAGTGCCTAGAAGCGGATCAAGTTGTCTTCTTATTCATTAGTTATTCCAGTATGACTGAGTACCCAGACGATGTTCACAGAGTTTTGTACTGAAAGTTTAAGTAATGGCGCTGCGTATAGACAGATATTTAGTTTGAAGTTGACTTCTCATTATTTTGGCTGTCGATACATTTTGTCGGGTCACAAGATCGAGTATTATGACATGATCGTAATAACGCTTACATTTGGCTCCAAAGAAAACTTTGAATAGATTGGTTAAAAGCATTGTAATTCGTTTGGAGATGTATTCGGTGGAAAATGTTGGTACACTTAAATTGGCATTTAGGCTCCTAGACCCAATTTTTGTTAGAAACTCCGAATTAAAAAATTTCAAGAGCTTAACCAAGTAGTGGTTAAAATCAAAAGAAGTGACTAAAAAGTGAAGTATCTATTTATACTCTTGCAAGCTGTTGCTACAGACTTTAATAATTTTGTTCACCTAACGGTTATACCTATTACCTAAACCTAATCAAGATAGATATAGGTTTATAAACAATATATAAATGGTCAGGATATCGAGAAAAGATGAAATCCGGGTGACTGTATATCGGTCCGTCAATTCGTACGTCCTTACATGTAATACCTATCATCAAGAGATACTGCCTTCCTGAAGTAAAGCAATATGAATACCTCTATGTCTTCTCCTAAGGGGCTCATTGTTGAGGGTAAGTCCCTACTCTCTCTATCTTCGCATTTGATGACGGGTCATCCCACGATTACTGGATAGGAATCCCAGCCGAAGACGGTATCACCTCATTCGTTGCATCCTCAATTCCAGAGTAGACCATGTCAATTTGGAATCCTTACGCAACATCTCTCCCGCTCAGTCGGTCGCTTGCAAAAGGAGTAATGTTTCCGCGCACATGGTACCACGTACTGATGATGTGGTATGTGGAATTTTCGAAGTTCGTCTATGAGTCTGAAGAATGGCTTGTGGATTATCATTTCTCCAAATGCGACAATTTTATTTATAAGCGTACAATGAGTACGTTAGAAGTGCGTTTCACCGCTGAACATGATTTTTTTTCAACTTAAGGATTGGTCTCCATCCGTTTTGGGCCCATTCACCAACCGTTTGAAAGGTATAATGGTCGTTTGGCTATTAATTATGAAATGTCAAAAAAACTGAATATGAACCAAGTAAAGTAAAGCCAAAATTAAACTACAAATTAACCTTAAATGAAAGCTAAATATATATTTTAGCTTATCTCTTTCCAACAAAATCTAATTTTAAATGCTTTTATACCTGTACCACATCAATGCTATGCTGTGCTTGCTATTTGCAGTTTACCTCCGATGTATCAAAAGCAGACCTGGTTGCATTGGGTCAGACATTTCTCATTAGCAATTTGAGAAACTAAATTTGAAAGCACAGAAATATGTATGCACATTGTAAAATAAGTATGCATTTGATTTGATGTGAATGATACAAGACTTGTCCATTATATTTCAGTGCGTAGTTAACATGCCACTGTCTGTACCTGCATATGTACTTATGTATCTATACCGATATGAAATCTGGACATGGCAGACCTATAATAGACACTGGTTTCTAACCAATACGCACATTTGAGTATGCGCATAATAAACGTATGTAGATATGTGTGTGTACCTACCGAGTTATGAATTTTCTGAATGATTAGAAAGGAACTGAGACGATGTTGTGTTCTCCGTACGTGTATGTGGGTTATGATTACATTTAGATTTTCAAATTCCATCGCCAATATGCTGATGTATGTATAGTATATATTTTGCTCAGCTATTCCGTTTAATTATATTTAATTGCCCAAAATTCCAACTATGTATTTCTCTAGAGCAGAGTGGTTCTGTAAACATATGTGTTTCAGTTGATCCCAAATCAATGTATGGTTATACATTTTAGATTCAATAATTTCATATGTGCGAATGTGTGTGTTCTACCAGAATGATGGATAATAACATTTACATGATAACTTACCTTTTTTACAAAAAATTTGTATAACTTCATTTGAATCGCCAGAAATCGAAATTTAAACCATTTTAAAAAGTGAAAAGTACATGTAGTGTATTGAATTTACAAAAGAGAGAAAGAAATAATGTGTTTAGTTTTGGTGTTCCATTTGTCCAAACAAATAATATATAAATTGTAAACTGAAAAAATTTAGGACAAAGTGGTATAATAATATATTATTATTTAGTGGCTGAATATGGAACAAATCTTTAAATTGCAAACATCGAATGCAATAAAGGTTTACTTTTCAAGAACAAGTCGAAAAAAAATTAGAAGTCGAATTCTATGCAACTCAAATCCTTTTCGGTCAGAGATATTTAAAAAGTACTTGCATTGAACCAGAAAACCCGAAGACCCTTCATACCTTTACCACAACGCGACATAATTTGACATTGAACACATATTCTTTAAATGTGTGCGGTAACAACGGAACCGCACCACCATAGAAGAGCTAATTGCCTCAATAAAAAGCGGGACCTGGACGCAGGTGCGCGGGTATGAAGCTCTCAATGAGAGCCTTAGATGGGGAGTGTTCAGTGCCCTGTAGGTGGCACATACTCTTGTTTAGATGACAGCCTTGCTGATGCGAAAGGCATTATCCATTTTAGATATGACAGATATTTCCTATCTACAAGAGATGAATCATTTATGAAGATATCCCTATAAAAATTAACACAAAAAGTGAACCTTATATATATTAAATCAAACCTTAATGGTCGAAATAGGATCATGATTCAAAATAAAGGCCCAGGGATGCCAAATAAAGGTCATCAGTACATGATCGCTCTCTACATGGATGCAAAAATACAAGCCTGACCAACTCTGATGCACCACGAATGCCACTTAACGCCAGAAAATTTAACGTTTTTTTTGTTTTTTTCTATTTTTATTTTTATTTTGAAGAAATAAGAAGCTTGTCTCAGGCTAATGCTACACATAGTCCTTTTTCTTTAAAACATCCGCCTGTCTCAGGTTTCATTCAATTATAATATATGGCTGATCATTCTATACGATATATTAAAAGCTAATAAAAGTCAACTTTAACTGAATTCCAGTATCACAATCACTTCATGTGTGTTAAAAACTTTAATTTTCACTGAACTACTGTAGGTGTACAAAAATTCTTTTTTTGAACTTTCAGATACTCGCCAATGATGCATCCGGTGTATATGAAATTTCCCGTCCCTGGCGTTCAAGTGCAAGATGGCAAGTACTTCTGCAACGAATCCACGTGTCGGGTAGATTTAAGTTTAGTCGGCGCCAAATCAACGGGCACATACGAATGCGAGGTATCTGGCGATGCGCCACACTTCAAGTTGGCGGCAAAAGGAGACAACATGACCGTGGCAGGTAAGATTCCGTACGCATATTCTGCTCCAACGCCCCTCAAACCAAGCACAGACACATAAGTTGAGAGAAATTGTATCGACAACTAACGATTGCAAATAAGTAGCAAAATCAGCACGAAAATTCACGCAACTGCGTGTTGTTAGCGATACTGTTTGTTTTTTTTTTTTCTTTAGAAAGTTGCACCAGTGCGATATCCACTTGTGCACGAACTACTATTCAACGTCATGCCACTTTCAATTTTTGTAACCGTCTCACCTTTTTCGCACTCGCAGCGCTGCCTCAGAGCGACCCGCTGATCGAAAGCTTCAATTCAATGTACCGCATGGAGGAACTGTTGAGCGCCACCTGCACCTCGGACTATTCAAGTTTGCCCACGCGACTGACATGGTTCATCAACGCTGAACAGGTGAGTAGGGTTGCCCTCAAATGCACGCACTTAAAGACATGCCTTGTAAAATATTAATATCCAACGGAACTATATCGGTGATTTGATTTTAACGTTTTCTATTATTTCGCGCCAAAAAATACCATACTTTCCTTTTACTATTTCCACCTCATATTAACGAATTGTATCGTGGCGGTGTTATAAATTGATATTTCTATTTTATTTCTTATTGTTCTCGCTCCTTGTCGCACCGTACAGGCTTCGCTGGGCGAGCTTCAACCCAGCATTGACACCAGCATTCCGGCGCACGATTATGTCCTGCGACGCCAAAAGCTTCAGGTGCGCTTTTATTTGAGCGGACCACGCTTCTATCATGCTGGAAAAAATCTGGAATTGAAGTGCGTGGCGGAAATTGAAAATTTCCCGGAACTGAAGCGTGAAACTTCATTGACTGCGGCAATCACACACTACGACAATTTGAACAATCAGATGCTGATACATGCCGGCAGTGGAGCGAGTGGTGCTGCGCCCGGTAAGTATCTTAAATGCGAGTATACTAAGAGTGGCTTTTGTTAAAGTGGCATAACGGAAGGGAAATATAATGTGACAGCGACAACATAATCGTACAGACGTTTCAGGATTTTCAATGCTTATGTGTGTTTACTTAATTGTAATCGTTCGATACTATTGTGATGTATCGGAGTTGCGGGAAGCATCGACCTGATGTTAACCACTTTTGGCATTACGAGATATCATAACCAGAAAAATATATAGCTGAGTTTTTTGACATATTGACCAACAAAGTGCACGTCAAAATTGAAAGTCTTCATATTTGGTATTTGGGATAGGGGTCAATATGTTCGGTATTTGGGGATTTAAAAATTAATTGCCCAATCTCAACAATATACTAATTGAGATGGCATATTTAAGACACAACTGGTATTTGGGATAAGTATTATTTCCATAACGTCATGAGGTGTCTATTTATAAAAGAAAAAATTAAAGAAATAGATTGTTTTCGAAGGTAGGCGTGGTTTTTATCCGATTTCGGTAAAAACCACTAACAGAGTGATATATGCATTCCTGGGTAATATTACGACCCATTTGGTAGAAATCGGCTAATATTTTAAGTGTCATTATTTACACTAACTGTAAAATTTGATGACGCTTACTTATTGATTTACCAAATTATTGTATTTTAAATAGTTTTCCTCCGATTTCTCCCATTAGACACAAAGTTTGACATTTTTGAGGGTATGCATACTCAGAACGTCTTTATATACGAGCACTATTTGCATTGTTTACAGTGACTTAAAATATTCTTCTCCACCAAAAAATTGAATTGAATTTCGAACATTTTCGAGCGATTATTTTTTAGAACTTACGACGTGGGTTAACTCAGCAAAAGTGCACCGATGAACTTAACTCAACTTTTGACGATGACGCGCCATCAAGGACCAGTGGTTATCGATGGTAGGGTGAATTCAATCGAGGTTGTAGATCCCTCTAGCACGAATTTCAGGAAGTTTTTCCAAAATCAGTTGTTGAAAATATTGTTTACGTTGGATGCCATACAATTTGGCATTCTTTCAAAGTTTTTGTCGATTGGTTGTAAGAAATGTTAAAAAAGATAATAGTCGCAATACGTCTATCACATTGCTACGGATGAAAATTCGTAAATTTACGCGCACGATTCCAGGTAGCTACAATCGACTCACCTTAACAGAATAAGCGAATCCAACTAAAGTTGTTCATGTGCGAAACACTTCCACTTCCCATAGCACTTTTAGGAAAAACTAGATAATTCGCAATCATACCACTGAAACATCGCAGAGAAGTGTGTTCTGAGTAGTATACAATCATTTGTTTGCAAGTTTCATTTCAAGAAAGCAGAAAAACCAAACATCGAGTACGGATTACACAACAACAATCTGCATTTTCAGCGCTCAATACATGAATTTTATGAGTCGCTCTTTCTATAGTTCTGACATGGTATAAACGATTCCTTTTTATTTCCGTTCGTAAAAGAACTAAAGGGCCACGTTTTCGACACCTGAAGAGGCCATTGATGCGTTCAAGAGGCTTCTTTTAGACATATCTCAATCATAGTGAAAAAATACTCCTTAGTAGGCAGGCACATCTCTTCTTTTTAGGCATGTTTGATCACAGAAATGTTATAATGTATTGTTTCATTCTGTTGTCCCCTACTTCCTTTCTTACCATAGGAATACCAAGGTCTTTATGGATATTTTCATTACGCATCTACTAAGACGAAGGCGTGAATGCCATACATCTAAATCGGTCACTGTATAAAAGCTCTTTGTTGTCTAGGCCAAGTGTAGAGTTTGAATTAAAAGACAATACAAATTTGAAGATATTATGTTCCTGCAAGTTATTTCCGCCGTTTTTTTTTTTTTTTTTTTTTTTTTTTTTTTTTTNTTTTGTTTTTAGTAAATTTAAGGCTTTATTGTATAAAACGGGTCGAAAAGTGTTTTCCCTTATTCCCTCAAAAAGCAATGCTGAATTAACACCGAAATGCTTTATGATCCACTGTTTTTCTGTTTTTTTTGTAAAGTAACACAAGTTAGCAAGCAACTTCAATCATATAGATGGTAGTAGTAGAGTAATAGTATTATCTATGTATGTGTCAGCCTCAGTAGAGCGTGTACAGGTCCTCAGCTGCACTTTCAAGTCAATATTATTATTATTAGCTGTTGGAAAATCTGCTGTATATATCATGTATAGAGTTGGATCTAAAATACTGCTCTGTGGTACACCAGCTCTTATCTGTCGTTCATCAGAGATGAAATCTCCTACTTTAACCATAAGTTGTCTCTTTTATATACCCTGAACAGGGTATACTAAGTTTGCCGAGAAGTTTGTAATACCCAGAAGGAATAAATGATCAGTTGAGCTGAACAGATGTCCGTCTGTCTGTCTGTCCGTCTGTCTGCAGATGTGTATATATGCAAACTAGTCTCTCAGTTTTTAAAATATCGTTTTGAAATTTGGAATAATCTTCTCTTCAAGAAGCTACTTATTTGTCGCAACTGCCGATATCGGACCATTATAACATATAGCTGCCATACAAGGTAATAATATAATCTCCGAAAAAATTGTTCAGATCGGATTACTATAGCATGTAGCTTCCATGCAAACTGAACACATAGTTAAAAGAAATGCACCTGTGAAGGGTATATTAGCTTTGGTGCAGACGAATTTAACGTTTTATCTTGTTAAATCAGACTCCAATGTTTTATATAATTCTAAAAGTAGACTTTCTTATATCTTATATGAAAGGCCTTATTGCCACACCTTATGAAACGCGTGAGCCACGTCTATAAATAATGCTGAACAGTACCTGTGTTAAAATGATTTTCTTAATTCGTTAGAAATTCCATTTACTTGCTCTATCATGCTATGTTTTTCACAAAACCCAAATCGGTGCGTTGGTATTATATTATTTTCGTGGAAGAAAGAAAACATCTTTGATAGTACTACTTTTTCAAATATATCAGAAAGTCAGTGTAGAAGACTGATTGGTCTATATGAAGACAACTGTCTTAAATCATTTCTACAGCAATATTTGGTACCTCAATTAGCATTTTTGTGGTAATTTTGTCTTATTCCACCCAAATCTCACATAGGCAAGTTGGAGCTGAGTAGTGGCTTCGTGGACACTTGGCCTTTCCAAAGGCGATTTTACTTGCTTGAATTTGGACACATCTTCCTTATATACTCGTATATTTCAGTGTTTAATTCTTTCTCGTGTTTAAGCACTTTTTTTTTAATTTACGTACAGCAGATTTAATTTGAAGCGTGGAAGGAGAGTGATTTGTATGCCATTCTATGGAGAATATTTTGAAGAACAATAAAATGAGTTTCGCTAGTACAATTTATTTTTGTTCCGAATCTCGAAATAAACAAGCCAACCTACGTATTTCTATGTATATTTTTCCAAGCATTACCATACCTATATATATATATCTTTTAGAGTTTGGAGATACTCCTCAAGTTTCGTACAAATATTTGGATACTTTATAGCTCTCACAGAAGAAATTTCTATACTTTTAAATCTAAAAATTTGGATTAGTACCTTAAGTCTATAAAATGTGTATTTTCACCATTATCTCTTTCCAGGCATTCATCGACGCATTCCTGCTAGTAAAGTTATACCCATTTTGTTTGTGATATGTTTAATGTTTAGCAGCATGCTACTATCTTTATGATCTGTCTGCGATATATTTGCAACCAGCAAACGACAAAAAATCACCAAGAGACGGCAAATGGAACTGGCGAAGCAAACAACAACTGTTTCGATTTGGCAACAGAGCCAAGCAGCGACGAGAGCAACCATGACTGCGTCCACTATATCACATTAGTTAGTTAGATGTAACCAATTATGATGTAAATATAATGAAAAAAAGGGGGAAAGGTAACCTATAAAAATACAAACTACTAAACATAATATAAATTTAAATTAAAAATCACCAAAACTGATAAAGACGCTGGAAAATATATACCTAAGTAAGCGGATTATATAACTGAAATAATAAGGAAGTGATGTGCATTTCATTATGATTAATAACTCATTGTGGAAGAGGATTTTTATTAAATCAATGATACTCGTACCTTAGTATAAGTTCTCAAAGGTTGAATGGTATTAAGTTGAACGCCAACTTGTGTTAGAAAGCGCTTACTGAGTTACCCATCGCATGTGTGCACTCAAAGTGCGCCTGCGCCATGCCAGTGCATTAATAATATTCGAAATTATTTTAAAAGTAAGTTTTTACAATTGCTTTGAGGCGGATTTGCGATTTTTTTACATAAGATTTCCACCTATTTTGGGAAACACGAATGCATTCAGGTAAGGCAGCAGCACTAAGATATTGACTATTGTACTTAGTCGTCAGATAACCCAATACTTATATGTAACTACACAATTAAGAAAATTTATAAACACATACTCACATACATACATGCATATATATTTTTCTAAAAGCAATAATTATTGTTAATAAGTAAGTAAATGTATATAAATTACAGAGGTTTGATAGTATAATTTCTAATTTCTTTTATTATATTTATATGTATATATATATATTTTTTTTTATTTTAAACACTTCTACATTACAAGGGTCCGATAAAATAAATTCAATTTATTCCTCTTTTAGTTCTGTAAACTTTATAAAGCAATATTCCATTTTTGAACCCATATGAAAAGTACGTCTTCTAGATTTTTGCAAAATATGCTAGGCCTTCGTGGAAGAAATATTCGAGCGAGTTTTTTCAAAACAAGCAATACAGTGAATAGGGCAGCTGTTCGGGGTTCACCAATTCAAATAATTATGGTATGAGTCGTTGAGATATCATAACGAAAAAGCTCCCATTCTCGTCGAATGGATCCGATTTTTTCATTAATTCAGCTTAGAATTGGTCAAAACATCAAAATTAGTAGCTCTGTGATAGTGTTGTTTTTGATCAGATTGTCAAAACAGATAACGCATTGTGAACCCCAAAAACGTTGACCAACACTTTACGCGCTGTTCACTGCTTCGAATGTTCCTTGGTCCCTGTACCAGTGAAATCATGCAGACATTCATTCGGATTTAGCTAAAATAAGTTTCACGCTTGTCTAACAAGAACCAAATGTAAGTGTCTGCATTCGCCCTAAAATTATTTTACTAGATAAGCTGAAAAGTTGAGATATTGTTTTAGTTGTTGTTGTAACGGTTATCTAATCGCCGTTAGTGTGGTAAGGTTCAGCTAAGTTGCCATCGAGGTCATCCAACGGTAGGCCACGAAACGTGGTTCTGCGATTTAGCCGGACCATAGGGTGAAAAGTGTCAGATGTGTAGGCTTAGCGAGGCATGTAAAGAGATGTTTAGTGTTATGCAGGAACTCGTTGCTGGCTTTGTTTGATACATCAGTGTCGATTCTGGATAAGTAGGAGTTTCATCTGTTTCAACGTTACCGGAGAGTTTGTCATCAGTGTGACAACGCCTTGTAGCAGTGTTGCTCCATATTCTCCTGGCTTTTGCTGGCATTGAGTTCAACTAGAGCCCGTTTGCTCCGTATGTAACGAAAATTGGTTTTGAAAATTATGTCGAAAATTGAAGTAATATTTTTATTCAGAAATCGGTTATTTCAAGTTTCACTCAAAGACATTTCAATCTCAGCTTTATAGACGTTAAAAAATCACCTTCGCACTCTCATATTTAATTGGAAAATTAGACTTTAATTAATGATATCTCCAAATTTGTGTCTTCACTTTTACTTTTACTGTTTTAGTGCCCAACTTCGTTGAGGATGCTCCTTAATTTGTTTGGAAAATTTGAGTGGTTATATTTTGTAGAGAAATGAAATAATTCTGTTTTTTGTTTTTTTTTTTTTTGTAGTTTTCTTAATTTATTAATCATATCTATTTAATTCAGAATTATAATAATATATATACGTACATACAGGAGTATATGAACATTTTTGTTTTATAATTTAACTCAGAATCATAATTCGCTAAATCTTTTAAATCAAAGCATATAAAGCATTTCTCCAAACGTTAACAAATGTTACCCAATATTTAGACTTAAAACCAAATTCTATATTCGTGTTTAATTGTGCACCGAAAATTTCACAAAATGTATACTCACCCATACACACACAAATTCACCGTATTAATGCAAATTTCATAAGCAAAATATAAAAACAAAATAATTTTGCACCAGAAATTCAAAAATTTAATAGTTTGTAAAATTAACAAAAAAAGATATGAGGGTTAGATAGAAAACTCTGTAGCTGAAAGCTGCTTTGCTTTCTGCTGACAACACTTGACATTTTATAAGCTCTGTTTAATAAAGCTAGTACGTCGTACAGATTTATTTTCATATCTCATGCAAATAAAGTTGCTCAGCGGTAACATACTTTTAAGAGCAGAAATTTAAGTAAAATATCTTTTTTAGCTTCGAATTATAAAAAATTAATCGGCTTAATATTTAAAAATAAATGATTACATTTACTTTATCTTTAATGTCATTGCAAAGGGTTTTCTATCTAATCGCACCCAAAATTATATAAAATATGTAAAGTTAACTATAATATTTAAAAATTCTGGTTCACCAACGAACTGTTGTAAATATAAAATTTTAAAAACATAACTCTAGAAATACTTTAATTCATAAGTAAACGGTAAAATTTAATAAGAAGAAGACACACTCTACCAATGTTAACTTACGGCAATGAAATGTTGAAATGAATTTTAGGCAACATAAAACTGAAAGAAGCGCAAAAAATGTATCAGTGGTGCAATTATACATATTTAAAAATAGAACGAAAAAATTATAGAAGTAAATACCAAAATTACCAAATAAAAACTAAGCTACTAAGAGAACTATGAAATTGAAAAATACCAAATCTGTAAAATAATCTTTAGGCTAATAAATCTAAGTTATAAAAAAAGGTGAAAATGAATTAAATTCAAACACAAAATGCCAAACGTACTAAATAAGAGTAAAATCCACAGTTTCAAGGGCCTAATATACCGAATGAACTAACGTGAAGGTAGAAAGAACAAACTCGGCAAAAAGCAATGCAAACGATAGCGAGAATTAAAGCTGCGTTGGGTTGTTTGTCTGTTTCAGAAAGACATGTGGATATAAATTATTAAGTAAAAAAAGAATCACATAATTATAGTTATAAGATTATTGTTAAATGCTAATTTTCTTTGAAGTACTATTCAATTTTAATTTTGTTAATATTTTTTCCAGATGTAAAATATTAATTAAGAAAAGTGAAAATAAACGAAAAACTGAAACTAACAAACTATTTGTCTCTCATTTATCCAATTAATTAAGCGACTTCGTTTTATTTGCACGTCCCCAATTATGAAGAAGTGACTACAAAAAAGAATTTAGTACTTTTTCCATAAAAACATTTCTTTAAAAATTATACGCAGTGAAAGTTATGCTTCAAAAAATATCACATGTACCAAGCTTTCTTACAATTGAATTATATTTATATTCCGTGTTGCTCATATGACATGGTGTACTATGTGAATTCTGTACGTTTGATATCTGATATATGTATATTCATAGCATCATTTTTGTTTGATTCTGGAAAAAAAATTTCCACACGATCACTGAAACTTGAGGGGACGTTTGAAAAACAAAAGAACTTGTCAAATGACGTAGAGTGTCCGTCATATAATCACATTTATGTACACCAAATCCGGCAGGGAAGCTCCAAACATCGTTTAATAACTCTGCGAAATGTAAAAACTATTAAAGCTAACAAATGGTATTTTCAATTAAAATACCGTTACCTAGACTTACCAAGTTGATACTTAAATTGAGCAACTTCCACATGATTAGAGCTAAACATTTACGCGAAATTGATTAATTAGATTGATAATAAATGAGTGCTCGCAAAACTCTTGGAATCTTTGTTTACTATAAAGTTCTTTCTGGCTCCAAGGTGCCCAGAAAATTGCTGCTATGAATGACAACGTGAAAAAAGTCCATGAACTGCGGAATATATGGATATCTAATAGCAATGTTAGCAATATGTTTGAGTCGACCATATGTATTTTACTTGAAATTTAAGGCTGTCGGCATGGGGATGCCACATTTTATCACTCCGAACAGCAAGCGAATCACTTAAAAACTTTACATTGTTTAATCAAGCTCAATGCAAAAGCTTTTCTGTTATTTCGTAACAATAGATGAAATATTGATCGACTGTATCCATCAGAAACAGAGGAACAAAAAACTGCTTTGAAGAAAATTAAAATTATGCTAACGACCGAGAAAGTGTAAAACCCTAAGCCGGTACCACATTCACAACAAAACTTGGTAGATCCTATAATATATATACAAATATATGTAACATATATGAAAATTAGGGTGGGTCAAAAAACCTATATCTCTTTTCGCTTGGTCTCTAAAAAATTTTTTGATAGACAAGAAAAGCTCCACAAGGATCAGTTATTAATTATAACGTGAAGGTTCTCCGCCTAACGGCTGGAAAACGTTTGCCTCACTTCCAACTACTTAAAAAATATTTCGTTTCAAAGTTTTATAGAAAATTGCAGACCCCTTAAAATGATCTCTTTAGTGTTTTGTTTATTTAATTTTAAAACGATATAGTATCAACAGTTGAAGTTTGAGTATTTTAAGGCATTTCTTTCGAAAAAGCAAAATATACTAAAAATACAATTTTAAAACAAATTAAGCAATTAAGGAAGTGCTAAGTTCGGGTGGAACCGAACATTTTATACGTTAGCAACTTGCAGGAATCAAAGCTACCGAAATACCTTAAAGTGTAAAACGTCAACCAGAGCATCAGAAAGCAAGCAATTATATATGTACATATACAACTCAGGTATTGATTGTCAAATTCAGCATATGGTAAAAAAAACGAAATCAGTATATGTAGAAAACATTTCGTGGTTCTCGAACTTTTAGATGAAACCCACAGAACCTTCAAATTTAATTTGGAGTGTTTATTATCATTTAAAAGAACATTCTTCCTCCTCTTATTTTAAAGACTTCCTCTTCAAAATGTTGCCCGCGGCTTTGTCTTAGATGATCTATCCGTTGAGTCCAATTTTCGAAAACTCGTTCGAGCGAGGACTAGGTCAAATTTTCGCCAAATTTTATCGACTTAAAGCACAAAGATACAGTGTAATGAGTGAAATACACTCAGAAATTCTTATTGAGATAACTCACATAGTGGCTGATAAGTAAGATAATTCAAAACTTTTGAGGGATAAGAGAAGTATTAACCGGATTCAGCCCATTTTTAGCACACAGACATACTACTGTCAGAAAAGCATTCTCTCTGAATTTCAATTATACATCTCACACATTGCCAATATTTTCAGTCAGAAGTCAACTATAATTATCGGGGTCTATGAATTCAGTACCTAGGTGCTTGCACAGTTTTTATTGGATTTATTTTTGGTTAAAAGG